CGGCGCAGTACATTTTCTCGGCTAGGCTCAAAGAAGTCCCACACAACAGTCCAAACACCTGAAGGCAAACCAGTCAGAAACTGGAGCGGCTCAGAGTCTTTCTTTATGTTATGGTACGTAAGCTGTTTTTCGGCTTTCTTCACTCCAGTCCTCACATCGTCCAACTGCTCCACGAGACTCTGTACACGAGCTCTACTTGCTGCCAGCTCTTGATGCAGATGCTGCACTTCCATTACAGGACCAAACTGCACTAAGCCAGGTTCCTTTCCAACTCAAAGTACCGTTGCCTCTCAGCAAAATACTGGTTTGGGAGCATGGGGAGCTCGTGATGCAGACGCTGCACTTCCATGACCGAGCTGCACTAGGCTCAGCAACTACTGTTTTGCGAGCATGGGGAGCAGAGCGTCCAGACTCCACTCTCTTGCGAAAAGCAAACCTGGTACCGTAGGACAGCTGTTGGGTTCCTGGACTCGTCCTGCTCTTGTAAGTTGTAGAGCTGGGCAAAACGATTTCGATTTCGGGATCGAAATGATCGCTGCAACTCAAATATTCAGAGTGACCCTAAAACTACGTCCTTCCTCACGGGGCATAACCTGGATCCGCTCGCTCCAGGCCGCTGTGGCTCCACACGAGGAAAGGAGTGAAATGACTTGTTTGCTTCGTCCTCCTGTTCATTTTCAGTGAGTATGTAGTGAAATCAATTAGTTACAAGTCTCTGGTGTAAGCACTCGTCATATTTGAGAAAAAAGCCGCCACGCCGAACAGTGCACTGTGTGTACGTGTAATGCAACAAAAAGTTCAAAAAACGCGGGAAAATCGCGGAAAACGCGATCTTTTAAAAAATCGCCAAAAACGCGGAAAAAAACGCGGCCGCGGAATTGCAATTTTCCCCGGGGACAGTGTTCTGACAGTGAGGAACGCAGCAATGATCCTGAGAAGGCATCCTGAAGTCGTAAAAAGGAAGACGTCTAAACAAAAACAAAACAGCTCAAATTGTAGACAGGCTTGCACTGCATGTAGATTTCGCGTGCTCTGCACTTCGCATGCGAGAAGTCGCGCACAGCCGAGGTGAGGTTGGTCGCGTGTGTGCAGCAGGATCCCACGCGACTAGCGACTGCGGAGTTGCCCCCTTGCTCGAACCCAGACAATATTAAATAAGGGGATCGGTCTATTCACTCAGTATCACACAACGATTACGCAACACTACAACAGTACTGACATGCCCACAGAGTACCTCTTAGGTCACTGGTTTGAGGCAAAGATGCAAACGGGAAAAGTCTGAAGAAGAAAAATTGATTCTCACCACCAGGACTCGAACGAGGGACCTCCGCTATTTAGTTGTTGCCATTCCCCCCCCCCCCCCCCCTCCCAAATGCACACGTTAGGGCTCTCCGCCTTCTACGTGAAATAAAACAGAAAGAGAACCAATAGCAAACATTTGAAGATCCTCGTTCGGTCTCTCCACTTTCTCCGCGGACAAAAGAAAACTAGAGTGAAAAAGAAGCAAAAGTGAAGAGTATGACGCGGCTTAGGCACCACTGGGAGTCAGTGAGTGAGAGCAGCAGGCCTCAGCAACGGCCAGTGTTGCAGAGGCATCTGTCACCTCACCGACTCATGTTGGGCATTGTTTCTTTGTTTGTTTGTATACTTTATTTGAATTCGCTAATCCAAACGAGCACAAATGCTCAATGACAAGGCAGCGAATATGTTACCATGTTGCAGGGAAGGAGGGTTGGGGAGAAAATAAGGAGAAAAAAGAGAGAATGGTAGATATCTCAATGAAGAGCGAAGCGTTATCAAAACTGCAAGTAAGCCAGCGAACGACAGTTCTGTAACCCGCCTAATAACTGAGTACATTTTTCAGGCGTGCAATGGATAGGCCTGGGCGGATAATGCTAGTTATTTTGCGGGATAATGCTAATGGCAATGCCAGAAAAACTGTATCATAGTGCTACTTATAAAGCTGTTGTTCCTCTGTAATGCCAGCAATTCACCAGTGGTAAGTATGGAAAAATGGCTTCAAAGTCTTCCAACTTTCTGCCCTTCCACCAGGCAAAGATTCTCGGTTTCTCCATTGGCGAAGGCTCCCTGGGGCTTCCACTATCGTACCCAGTGTGCGCCCCCCCCCCCCCTCCCCCTCCATTGCTATCAGCCCATCGCACACGGTACGTCCGAGGTGCTCCGCTCAATTCATCCAAAACGGCAATACAATTCTTATTAATTTATTCAACATCGTATGGCTTCCGATGGCAGCCAAAACGGGAAGATGTGGGTGATAGCCAACCATGGTAAAAAGAAGGAGAAGATTATATACATGAAAAGGAAACAGCCGAAAAGCTATATTGATTAGTTTTTTATTATTATGGTCCACTCACTCATCAGCAGGCCCTCAGATTCACTTTAAATTCTTTCAATGATGCAGAAGTCTTCACTGAGTCGGGAAGTTGTAGCCACGCAGGATCATGGCTAGTCTGGACCATGTGGCCGTACATATGGTCCGCAACTCATGCATAGACGAAAGGAATGCTATTCAAGCATCTCCAAAAATCACGCATTTTGTTTTATCACACTCAAATTGTAGTGCCATTTTGAAGTGTTATAATCGCTATTGGTCTTATACTGTGTACATTCACTTTAAAACATATCTACACGGAAAAATGCTTTATTTACCATTCAGTGACGTATTCTAGCTGATGGTTGTCACAGGAAAACGTTCCTAGAGCCCACACAGTGTTCCCTAGTGATGTGTGCAGACGCATGAGTATTCAGAATATTTGGAATATCCGCTCATTATGAATATTTGAATATTTATTATTTAAAGGATTTCCCAAAGGCATAGCCTATCGGGGGGATCTCCTAACAGTGAAAATGATCATTGATTTATATACTAGTGAAGCGACTTGTGCAGGCAAATATATGCAGTGTTTATAATGTTTTTTTAATACCTTTAATAGTAAGCTTACTACGGCGAGAAGTCAGATGGTGAGCAAAGGAAAATATTAGAATGGAAACAAGCTAGGAAAACGGTGGGGCACAAGTTATGCGTTAGAATCAGTACTCCTTTCCAGTGTCGTGCTACCTTGTGCACGTCTGACTGTTCAAAACCTGGTTTAGTTGGTGGATTCTAACGCATAACTTGTGCCCCACAGTTTTCCTTGGTTCCACTTACTAAGGTTTCAGAACACGTTTTCTAGAGACATTCATCAGGGAAAATACATCTCATGCAATAACGAAATCTAGCAATAAACAACGATACAAATACGTGGAAGATCAAGAGTACGAAATGCAGTACATGTATGTGAAAGAAAATGAGGAGAAAAGAAGGTGAAGTGCGAAAGTCAAGAGAAGTGTGAACTAATAACCTAGGGGTGGGCAGGTGAGAAATAATAACAATGTGAGACTCAGAGAGGGTGAAGTGTAAGGAGTACGCGCATGGGTATGTGGGTTGGTGTATGTGTGTGTGTTTGAATGCTAAGAGAATAGTCTAAGTTTAGTGACATTTTCTTTCTGGCTGCATATGTTGGGGTTATGTTTGCGAATGAAAACGGCTTCCAAATTCCAACACTTAAACTTACTAAGGTGATTGCGATTTTTAAAGCTTTCGTCTCCTCGTTGACTCTTCATACATGTATTTCCGCAACACCGGTATATTTGTACAAGAGTGTATGACTTGAACTACACAGTGTTTCGGGGAATTCCCACCTCATCATGATAAGGCCTCTTTTACAGGCAAACAGAATATAATTGACAATGGCATGGCGAATGATTAGAACACAACACCAAAAATTGAAAAACAATTTTATGTGTAAACGGTACCATATGGTAGGGGAAAGATCCAAGAAACCCTAATCCCCTTTTAACATCAAAATCTATGAAAAAAACGCAAAGAAACGCCTCATCAGTCTCATCAGCCTCATCAGTTGAACTAACACTTGAGTGGGCTAATGAAATGTGTGCTTCGAGAGCACTGCATTCTGCACAGCGGTACTCTACAAGCCTAAACATCACCAATATCACAAGGGATGCCAACTAAAGTGAAACGTCGTTTCCAGCGCGACAAACACCTCGCCAACTCCAGACAGCAGCGTGAGTCAGTGTCGCTCATGGAGGCGCAGCACAAGCGCTGAGGACAGTAGGCCATTCACAACGTTGTCGCCTCCAAACCATAATTCGCAAGCCCGTGCTGGGGATAACAATGTGAACACGAAGCTGTGGCGCCTTCGGCGATACTTGGGGAATTGTGCGTTGCTCCATATGTCATTATGATCTTTGCATGGTTATGAAAAATAGACACCCCAACTGGTTGTCGTTATGGCTAGTTATCGATTTTCGTGATATCTGGAGATGATGACCATTGCTTTCCAAACCAAACCAACCCGCACGATACTCTAGCTGGACGCTCATCAAGGCTCACACAAGAGGTTTAGAAGCGTCAACACGCTGCGTATTATCAAGTTATGCCAATAGACTAATCGGATTGTGTAAAAGCAGTCAATATGGAACAAGAAAAACAAACAAGAAAAACAAACGGGATCCTGAACTTGCGACTGAAGTACATTGAACATGGTGGCTGTGGAGAGGGGAAATACTCCATTCCCAACCAGCACAGCCACTCTACTAATGTACATGATTAAGTCCAAGGTAAGAATCAGGTTTAATATGGTGGTTAAGTTGAGTTGGTAGAGTAAGAATCAGGTCTAAACGGTGGTTAAGTTGAGTTGGTAGAGTAGATCATGCTGAGTAGGTGCCCAGCTCAGTAAAGCATCTGACTGGCTGAATCAGACAGTTCGAAGTCTCCGAGCTTGGCAGTTTCCTAGCAAGGGATATCTTACTTTTTTCTTTCTTTTTTGTTGATTCTTTTACAACGCAACACAATATTGTGGAAAGTACACAACAATAAGAGACAAGATCAAAAGGAAAGCTTTACAATAATAATAAAATTTATTATTATTGTAAAGCTTTCCTTTAATAATAATAATAAAACACAAGAAAGGGTTTGCTCCCCACACTGGAGCTCGCTTTCTTACAAATCATCAAATCATCGCCGAAGTCGCAACCACTACTTCGTAATAATAAAACACAGCCTGTAAAATGCAAAGAGTTACTGAGTACAGTCATCCAGTATCCATGCCTAGGGGCATGTTACCGTCCACAGGTGGGGGTCGCCAGTGGGGACGCGAAGTAGCTCTTGGCACGAGCCCAGCGAATCGCCACGCCAGGTTGGAACGAGAACTCTCCCGTGATGCCATGGACGGTGCCGGCGAGAAGGTACTCGTGGCGCGACCTCAGACCCAGCCCGCATGGTTGCTTGCAGCGTGACGTCATTGGGCTGGCAAGGGGCTTCTGGACGGGCAGGAGCTTGGGCTCAGGTTGTCTCTCCACGGGAACGCAGTAGGCTGTTGACTTCTGTACGGCATACTTGTCGGAGAGGATGCCAAAGGCGGCAGAGGTATTGGAGCAGATGGCCTTGATGTCGAGCAGGAAATGGCTGTTGCTCTCCTTGGCCATCCTTGCTACAATCACTGGACATCCAAATAGAACGACAGCCCACACCAGAAAAAGAGATACTTTTGGGCCATCCTTGCTACAATCACTGGACATCCAAATAGAACAACAGCCCACACCAGAAAAAGAGATACTTTTGGGCACAGATATGCAAACACACGCACAGAGAACAAGAGAGAGAGTGTGTGTGTGTGTGTGTGTGTGTGTGTGTGTGTGAGTGTGTGTGTGTGTGTGTGTGTGTGTGTGTGTGTGTGTGTGTGTGTGTGTGTGTTTGTGTGTGTGTGTGTGAGAGAGAGAGAGAGAGAGAGAGAGAGAGAGAGAGAGAGAGAGAGATAGGGAGAGAGAGATAGGGGAGAGAGAAAGGGAAAGATTATAAATAACGTTAGAGAGACAGACAAACAAACGCAGACAGACAGACAGAGACACATACATACTCAGTCTACATTCATGCGTACACAATTGTGGTGGTCTCTAAGCATCAATTTCATAAGCCAATTCGAGCTCAGCTTATGAGGGGCCTGAAGTGTCCCTAAACACTGTTCATTGAGCAAGAAGCGGTTATTTCTTGTTACTTGCAGGTTAGGCAGTATGCACCAGATTGCAATCGCGAGCTAGCCAAGTGTGGGTCTGTCTGCAGGAGTAGCCATCTCTAAGGTTAGTATCAGTGTACGGGTATACGCTGACGATGCGTGACCCATTTCCCTTCAATCTTAAGAAACCAACACTCAGCATTGCCGCTTGCAAGTTGCCCTAACTGGTCCTTTCAAGTGCTTACGGAAGTCGCTGCAGCGAGACTTCTCAACCAGGTGCCTTTCCTCCTCGCTCCTTCTCTTGATAGTGCATCTTGGGCAGACCTGGACATCTGCACACACACAAACACACATCGGTAGACAGACAACAAACACATGACACACATGCTGGTCAGGGCATATACATGTGAGCATGGCACGTGAAAGACGTGCGACAGGCCCATTTCCAAAATGAACAAGATACCGATATGATTAAAATACGTGTAGAACAAATCACATGGAAACGAGTTATCGCACTTTTTGACGGCATATTTTCTTGTTACAGCTGTGGATAGTTGCTTCATAACTAGTTTCCATGTGATTTCTTCTATTTTAATTATATAATGTATTATACTGGTGAGGTATCCAAGTTTAAATACCGGTATGAAGTTTGCAATTCTGAACTTGACCAATAGACTTCCTGTGGTCAAAGAATTCGGGCTGTGCTCCCCCAACCTCTACCCCTACCCTGCCCACATAATCTAAGGATCGTCACCACTTAACACGGCTACAGTTGCAATACTTTTGTTGGTGTCTGTAGCGAAGAGGTGGTGACGTGTTGGCGGATAATGCCGGCGGATACATTGGCTGAGTTTTACAACTTTGGCAGACAATTGGCAGAATTTTAGAATTTTAGCAGAAACATTGCCAGAATTTGATACATTTTCTGGCAGGTTTCATGCTTGTTAGGCATCTGGACAAAAATCAGTAGAATTCAAGGAAGTGCCAGCCAACTGAGCAGCTTTTTGAGCAGAACCTGCCAACGTTCGAGCATTATCTTCCATTGGATAGTCGGGGTGTGTGCATGCTGAAGGACCATCCGATGCTCTGCAAAATGTACTACATGTACAATGAACCCTGTCACGGCAACCACTCTGATAAGGCCACCACCTGTCCCTGAAGACAACAGCAACCAGGACCAAGGGATGCTACGTGCAGTCAAATGACCCTGGATAAGGAGGAAACCTGCTAACAGAGACCACGTTTTAAAGGTCCCTGAAGTGGTCGTCGTAGGAATTATAGTTTCACTGTATCTATTATTGAGAGTACTTCAAGTACATAGGCTGATCTGATTTAGTCCCTACCTGCTCTGGGCTTCTGGCAGATGACCGCCCGGACCCGTCTTGTGCATTTGCTGGTGACGATGCTCCCCGTTCCATTCATGTAGAAGCAGGTCTGACCATTCCATTGCTGGTAGAAGGCGGTTTCGATTCTCGGCTGATAGCTGGATCCCTCCAGTGTACGCTTGCCGTAGATCCAGTAAGGAATACTGCAGTGCAGAGTGCCCGTGAGCAAACACACAAACAAAAATCAAGAATATAGTGGCTTCACATATTTGCCATGTGACAAAATTTGTGCCGAAAGTGACCATTTCACGTGGACATCGCGTGACCAACACAACGTGGATGCGGGAGTTGAGCAGGGTTGTAACCAACATGGCTGCCCTGTATGATCAGGTGATAGGTGTGAAGCCACTCTATTGCTACTGTCTATCACCACTCCCTCGCACTGTGTGTGTGTGTGTGCCAAGTGGTCAAGGGCTACGACTCCTACAAGACGAGTTGAGTGAAATAATAATATAAATAATAATCCCTATTTTCCTCCAATCCCTCTCGTGTTTCCTATGATCGATATTAAAAAAAAGGTGTTGTGTGTTTCGATCTCTTGTTTACCTACCATCATATTTAATATCCATATGATGCATGGCCCCACCTTCGGCTGCTGAATGGTAGCCCGGTGGGTGCCTATCTCCGGGCTTCGGCCGAGTGCTGATGGATGATCAATGACTGTGAGGGGAAAGGTCAGTGCAACTGGTCCCAATAGTTTTAGTTTGTAATATAGCAACAAGTTACGGCAAATCTGCATTTCTAACGTTTGTCTAATGGCCTTGCTGGGCTGTGTCACAACGGTTGGATTTTTGCGCACTACTCGAACCATCTCGACTCGGACTGGAGTAGTGCAGAGTCCTGGTATATGTACTTGATACCTGGCGGTTATGCACTCTTGTGTGCAACGCCACACAAATCTCTGTCACGACTCGTTTTCAACATTGCATCATTTTCATGTAGCTGCGCGTGCAGGCCACGACAATCGTCATGTAGCTGCGCGTGCAGGCCGCGACATTCGCTACCTGAAAATGACGCAATGTTGAAAACGAGTCGTGACAAGACCTTATCGCGAGTTGCACACTCTGGGGGTTATGGTCTCTTGCTAGTACTACTACTGGTCTTGTAAGTACATGCCACGACAAAGGTGAACAGTAATGTTCATAGCAATGAGTCGGTTTGGTAAAGAGCGAGCCAGATACAGGCCTACGACACAGTCGTCAAAAACCGTAAATCCCATGCACGGAGTTTATGATAATTATCATGCTCGGCTGGCTCAAATCTCCCCGCGATTCTTACGGCTGTTGTGGGGTAGGAGCCCGACGCACATCGGTAAGACCGATCCAGCTGTTTTCCGACTTGGACAGTTCGGCCACTAGCTGATGGACCTATCACAGTGGCATAGGAAGGATAAAGGCAACGGCATTTGAAATTATATCAGTTAGAGGTGAAGGAAACTGCTCATAGTAAAGAGTCGGCTTGGGGAAAGAGAGAGACAGAGACACAAAGAGAGAGAGACAGAGAGACAGAGAGACAGAGAGACAGAGAGACAGACAGACAGACAGACAGACAGACAGACAGACAGACAGACAGACAGACAGACAGACAGACAGACAGACAGACAGAGAGAGAGAGAGAGAGAGAGAGAGAGAGAGAGAGAGAGAGAGAGAGAGAGAGAGAGAGACAGACAGACAGAGACACAGAGAGAGACAGAGACAATGAGAGACCACCACACTGTACAACCATGTGCTGATTCACTAGATACACACTGCTTCAGTTCACTGTATACGTACTTCACGTGTTCTGAGCTCCGCCGGCTCCGAATCCCGGTGGCGACACTGTCTATAAGCTCTCTGGAACGTCACTCCCAAGCGGAATTTCTCGATGACGTAACAGCCTTGTCTGAAAGCGGACCAACCTTCACCGCAGCCTGCGGCGAATAAAACCACAAAAAGAACAAAAATGGAGATCACGGCATTCGAGGCGAACGAGATATTCACACCAGACATGCGTGCATATAACAAGGCAGATCAATCGAGAGAGAGAGAGAGAGGGTGTGTGAGAGAGAGAGAGAGAGAGAGAGAGAGAGAGAGAGAGAGTGTGTGTGAGAGAGAGAGAGAGAGAGAGAGAGAGAGAGAGAGAGAGAGAGAGAGAGAGAGAGAGAGAGAGAGAGAGAGAGAGAGAGAGAGAGAGAGAGAATGCAGACTGCAAAGTCAGCTAGAAGGCTGCACAGTACAGAACACGGAGGCAAGTCCCTACATCCCCTATGTTTTGTCCTTTTCCTCGTTTCCTTTTTGTTCTGCACATGTTTTCCAGTTGGACTGTGTAAAGAGTAAAAAGAAGCCCCAAAACACTGAGAACCCGAGTCCAGGGCACACTGATGCTACAGTACATAGTACAGGACACAGTCGAGAGGAGACAGACGGATAAAGACACGGGACCAGTGCAGCAGGCAAGCGTTCGAATTCTCAACATGGGATTTCGCCGGAGCCTACAGCCCAGACATACGATGCTGGCAACATAAATCCGATCCCCTGGGCGATGCGGCGCGCCGCCCAGGGGGTCGGATTTCAGTTGCCAGCACTGTACAAGTACATAGGTGATCAACTGAAAGACAAGCGTGAACTGCGTGTAAGCAAATCGCTCACGAAAGCAAGTACATGTAGTTGTCGCTGCACCAACTAACTTACCAGATGGGACCGGAGTATCGTCTTCGGATGAAGATGAACTGGACGCGGGGGAAACTGGATCAGAATCGTCAGCTGAAGTGGAACTTGACACACTTGCCAGGCATAGCGCGAACAGCAGCGTTAGTCCCAGTAGGGAACGAATAAGCACACACCCGACCATTGTGGTATCGTGTGCAGGACGAGGGGCGGCGATTGCGAACGGCAGCAACGACTTGTCTTCTCACGATCTCGGAGACGACTGGAAAGAAATCTGAAAGCGCCGCCCCTTATATAGGGTGGCTGGTCTTTCATGATGCACAAGTTTGGTCGGACTGGTGATTGGTCGGACTGGTCTTTAAAAAGAGTCTTGGCATACTATTGTGCCGTATTTGCTTATTTACGGATTCCCTACAATTTGTAGAGGTAAATGGATGCGCACCTTGCGAGTCTCTCCTAATGGAATAACTACAGCTGTACTACTTTACACTCTTGCTACTACGCTATGCGCCAGCCTAAAAATGGCTATCTGGGGAAGAGACAAACTATTACTTGTCGCTCCATGGTTTCGTATCGTTATGGACTTTCTGGGTCTAGGTTTCTCGATTGCCCATTCGATCGTGAGCCCAGCCTGATACCCTGGCACAGGTACGTATACCGTAGAATCTCGCGGATAGGTTTATCTGTTTCATAAGGACATTTCGGTGGGCTTATACGAGAACATGTGCTTATACGCGGGCATGGGCTTATACGCCGACTCCAAGTTGTGCTATTGAAAAGTATCAAGGAAGTGAGAAGTACATTGCTGAAAACCACTGTGCAAACAAAAACAACCGATGATTGTGCGGAAATGTAGGAAAAAACTATAAATGTACATATGTACTACGTACATGGTATGGCCAAGAGTCAATAATTTATGGACTCTTGGTATGACCTATGTACGTCAAGAGTACATAAGTAACATAACCCCCCGGCCCCGGGGTTATTTTAGAAAAGCGATCCTGTCAGCTTATTGTGTTCACATGGCAGAAAAAACGACATCGCTATGCTACGTAAGTTTCTACGTAAGGTGCTCGGTATTTCACTTAGGCTACGTAAGTTTCTACGTTAGATGCTCGGTATATGATTGATTGATTTTATTTGGATTCGCGAGACCAAACGAGCAGGAGTGCTCAATAACAGGGTAGCGAATGGTTGAGTTGTGCTATGTGACAATGTAGTGTGTGCGTGGGGGGGGGGGGGGGGGGGGGAGCTGCGGACAATGTAAGGGGATGGGAGGAGAGAAGGCCAGCGGAGAGTCAAATTCAGAAGAGGGAGGAGAGGATAGCTGAAGTACACGGTTACTGAGCGAATTCAAATAAACCAAACAAACAGCAAAACAAGTACACAGCTCACGAGAATAAAGAGGACTGGAGCACAGAATTGAACTGCTGATGTACACAGCTGACGAGAATAAAGACAGGAGCACAGAAATGAACGGGAGGCAGTCTACGAAGTGGTGGTACCATCGGTGCATGCACCACGGTACATTGCCGGAATAGACCGATCCCCTTATTTTACTGGGTTCGAGCACGGGGGCAACCTCACTCGCGATCGAGCTAGTTTTTGAACGTGACAGCATCTTTGACAGTGTGTTTCAGGTTTGTTTTGGAATGTCTTCTGCTTAGTTCAAGTGGTTTGCGATGGCTTCGAGCGGTGCTGAACCTCCTGCTGGTAGGAGCAGAGTCTCCGAGAGAGACATGGACTGTGATGCAGCTGCAAGATTTTTTCAAGGCCCAGGAGGGACCGATCTCGGGCCACAAACAGGAGTTACTCCAGAGGTGAGTTTTTGTTGTTGTTGAAATATTCGAATCGCGAATCGTGTTGTGAGACTTATTTTGTGCCTAGGCTACAGCAGACCGTATTTCTTTCTCCTTGAGATCGGTGCTGAAGATAATAGTAACCTTTTCTGGTCTGCCTTTTCCTCTCCAGAGCCATCTTCTATGAAGGTAACCGTGGTGCTGCCAAGTCACCAAGTCGCGATCGCGATCAGCAGCCCTGAAGTGGAAACTTTTGAATCGATTTTCCAACGATCTGGTTGGACATCAGCCGCTACAGTACTTCTGATTGCCTGTAGTGACAACAGCAGCCATCCTTGGACACCTTGCAAAGACAGGAAAAGCCACTGGTGGAAGCGACTGCTATGAGGTGACGATAGCAGCGGGTGATCGCTGTTTTGTCAAGTCGAAGGGCTAGCCGACCCAGAGGAAGCATTAAAAAAAACGATGAGCAGTGCGTGGTATTTGTTGAGCGTGAAGAGCTAGAGGAGGACAGTGCAAACACATGGAAGGAGTGGATGGTGTTTGAAGAACAGTGTGCTGTGTGCCGGCTGGTGGTGATGGTGGTCTTTGTCAGCATGTATTCGCGCTGCTTCTTGTGCTGGAACACTTCTCGCCCAGAAAGGCAGATTGCGTGCTCCCTGGCCCTCAGTCGGCAATGGGGCATTTGTTCCAGGAACATTACCCCAGAGCCAGTGATGAGTCGTACCTTTGAAAGGTCGAAGCTTGCTGTTAATCGCAAGCGTAGCGCAGTGGATTGCTCCCTCTTCGAAGTACGAGGGCCAAAGCTTGCCGCTGTCTGCAGCAAAGTGTGTGTGCGGTTCTTTCGAACCTATGAATATACCCCCCCCCCCCCCCCCTCTCTCTCTCTCTCTCTTAGGAAGACTGCATGTTCAGAGTGAACTATTTTCTAGTATATTTAATGTGAGACGGGCTGTTTACGCCCAAGATCAAGATACATTTTTTTTCTGTTTCTATACCTTCCTAATAAAATGCATTGTGACAGAGCTTTCGGTCATACTCCGCTGTACTACATCCTCAACCCGCCACCACCATGCGCTCTTGGCCGAACTAATGCACGAAGCATAAACACACCAGCACAGCAAGGACACTTCCGTTGACAGATATTGTTTACGCCTCTAGACAGCTGTTTCGTTTCTTCGAGCTCATCGTTAGAGGAAGATAGTAGCAGGATATTAATGATGATATAATATAAGATGATAGACGGTTTATGGTCCGATATTGATGATTAGAGATCTGAGAAAGCAATGACAGTGATTGCGAAATGGATAATATTATCATGATTATATGCCAGTCCGGTAATGCGTTGTACTGGTGGACAGTAGTGAAATCATCACTGCATTCGATGCAAATATTGGTATACCTTGGTTTCAGTATTGGAAAAAAAGAGTAAGAGAACCTGGTTGATTTGGTTGCATCTGCGACTGGCTACCGGGTGTTGTGATCAGCAATGTTACCATGGGAGAAAATAAGAGCGCAAGGATCTGTTGGGTCTTGTTGTGCCGTGCCGGTGCGAGAACCATAAGTGCATGGCAAAATAGAACTGTTTCATCCACAATGCAGAATGTCTTGCGGTACATGGCATTGATGACTGAACATCTAGCCAGCTCGCCCAAATGGGGATCATGCCCAAACGGAGGAACAAGACATCTTTCCAGCTCAGCTAGCTATATACCGTGAAACGGATGATAAACTTGTGCCACGCATGCCAGCTTCTGTTCCATTCGGCCCAGGCTTAGACACATTAATGCCAATAGCAGCTGATCCTCAATTACATGCTCATTGGCGATTTACGGCCACCTCCAACTGTATCCGCCGTCCCTCAGCTTCCGTCTTCGCAGATCTGGCGCGGCGCAGTACATTTTCTCGGCTAGGCTCAAAGAAGTCCCACACAGCAGTCCAAACACCTGAAGGCAAACCAGTCAGAAACTGGAGCGGCTCAGAGTCTTTCTTTATGTTATGGTACGTAAGCTGTTTTTCGGCTTTCTTCACCCCAGTCCTCACATCGTCCAACTGCTCCACGAGACTCTGTACACGAGCTCTACTTGCTGCCAGCTCTTGATGCAGATGCTGCACTTCCATTACAGGACCAAACTGCACTAAGGCAGGTTCCTTTCCAACTCAAAGTACCGTTGCCTCTCAGCAAAATACTGGTTTGGGAGCATGGGGAGCTCGTGATGCAGACGCTGCACTTCCATTATAGGACCGAACTGCACTAGGCTCAGCAACTACTGTTTTGCGAGCATGGGGAGCAGGGCGTCCAGACTCCACTCTCTTGCGAAAAGCAAACCTGGTACCGTAGGACAGCTGTTGGGTTCCTGGACTCATCCTGCTCTTGTAGAGCTGGGCAAAACGATTTCGATTTCGGGATCGAAATGATCGCTGCAACTCAAATATTCAGAGTGACCCTAAAACTACGTCCTTCCTCACGGGGCATAACCTGGATCCGCTCGCTCCAGGCCGCTGTGGCTCCACACGAGGAAAGGAGTGAAATGACTTGTTTGCTTCGTCCTCCTGTTCAGTTCTGACAGTGAGGAACGCAGCAATGATCCTGAGAAGGCATCCTGAAGTCGTAAAAAGGAAGACGTCTAAACAAAAACAAAACAGCTCAAATCAAAAGTCCTTGTGACATTTTTGTAGACAGGCTTGCACTGCATGTAGATTTCGCGTGCTCTGCACTTCGCATGCGAGAAGTCGCGCACAGCCGAGGTGAGGTTGGTCGCGTGTGTGCAGCAGGATCCCACGCGACTGCGGAGTTGCCCCCTTGCTCGAACCCAGACAATATTTAAAAATAAGGGGATCGGTCTATTCACTCAGTGTCACAAAACGATTACGCAACACTGCAACAGTACTGACATGCCCACAGAGTACCTCTTAGGTCACTGGTTTGAGGCAAAGATGCAAACGGGAAAAGTCTGAAGAAGAAAAATTGATTCTCACCACCAGGTGTGACAATAATAAATATGGTAAAATACTTGAGCGCCGCATGGACCAGTGGTCCAAGGGAGATTTTGCAGAGCTGCAACGGGAAGCGGACACCATACAGACCTCTCTTCTATCGTCCAAGAACAAACATAAACGTGATTCAGTGGGTCCGTCGGTTGACCCTGCTAGGCGTTTTGCAGATTATGTCACCGCGGGCAAAGTGGGCAAGGCGCTCCGTGGCTTGACAAGCGGTGATGATGGAGGCGTCCATCAGTTGGACGACGAGATTGACGGACGCACTGTCCGGGATATCCTGAAAGACAAACATCCACCCGCAGAGCCGATGAGCGAGGACGCCGTTATTGGTGGTGATCCACCTGCTCCACCTCATCCGATCTATTTCAGCAGCCTTGGACGTCAGTCGATTAAGAGTGCAGCGCTCGGTACGCAGGGTGCTGCGGGGCCGAGTGGTGTTGACGCCGAGAACTG